AAATTATAGTCTATCAACACGTTATCATATGCAACAATTTACCTGGTAAGCGCTTACCAGGTAAGAGTCGTCACCATCACTTATTGGGTAAGACTCTTCATCTTCATTGTTGCTCTTACTGGATAAGATTTTCAACCTTTGCCATGTTCATCCAGTAAGGTAAATGACACAGTGATTACCAATATGATTTTACATTTCTGCATATCATTTATCATGTTTGAATTCCTGCATACCCTTTTCACCATTAAAGCTTATGTTGAATTCAAATCTATTGAAGCTTTATGATATGATTTTGATTTTACACTGTTAGCCTTGGTACTGTGATAACTTAGGTGTCTTATCTCAATACTTTGTGTCAGGTGTGTCCTAAGATACAACCTTCTTAAATCTTAATCCTTAATTTAGGTGGCTGAATTATACATGAGATTCTGATGGGGATGTCATTAAAAGGTCTATTGGGAAACAGTTAAGCTCTTCGATTACATTGTCTTTGAATTTGGATGACAACTTATTTGATAAAGCAAGAGGGGCCCTTAATGGACTGTTTGGTGATTATTGCACTATCCAGGTTAATTCTTGGCTTGCATTAACAACCTTGCATGGGTGTTTCTGATAAGGTTCTATATGGTGTATCTACACACTCCAAATATGGAATATGGGCTCCTGGGCAATGTTTAGCAATATATTTGTTTCAGTGTTACCTTCAATGTTTCTTGTGTTGATTGTTGTGCAGGGGGAATGATGCATTTTAGAATGAGATTAGCAAGGTGGATGATTAAGGTTTACATTGCTTTGTTTTCATGCATGGTTGGTGTGTAGGTTTACTTTAATCCATAGTGAAGACTACCTTGAGAGTTTGTATCACTGTTGCTTCCTAAGTCTTAGCTGAAATATATTTTGAGTAGACGCATTCTTTTTGTAAAATTAGTTTATGTATAGTTTTGTAATTTTGATCATTTTGAATAAAAATTGATTTCGGATCAATCTTAATGAAGTACGTTTTTTGACATCTTAAAAAAATTTGATATTTTGAAATTGGATAAATCTTAATGAAGCTTTTACATCCCGCTGTATTGCGCGGGTACACAACTAGTTATATTATAAATCATTTGACAAAAACTCTTAAAAACTAATTTTTATGCGTAAAGTACTGTTTATTAATGCATATTACTTAAAACTCAAGATTACAAGTAAATTGTGTGTAAGTACAACTTATTAAAGCTCCA